AATTCATTTTTCGTTTTTCTTTCTGTAGCTCTGAGGTGACAATGAACATTTAGGGCTTTTCTTGTAAACTCTATAACTTTGCAAAGAAAGGTCGTGTGCAGCTGGAAGATGCCTCGTTTTAATCAGAAATTTATGGACTACAATTACGCCTCATTAAGAAAGCTTTTGGTTGTTGTTTAGAGTTTCTCGAAAACTAGTTTTCCAGAAGATCAGTCTTTGAAGGCCTAGCAGCAGTATTCATGGTGATATTCGGAATCAGCATCGTTGACTACCTATAGTCCACTCGGTTTCGTTGAAAAAGCGATTTATCAGCTAGGGTACTTCCCTCGTAAGTTTATTAGTGCTTTTAACTTATTCCACATTACTTCCCTCAAAAGCAAAGGTAAAACAAAAACAGCTTCGTGATGTGAACCTTGACTTATAAGACTCATCATTATACACCCATAGAAAAGACTAGTTTTCTCTAATGTTTAGTCTTACCTGATGACCGAGAAATATTTGTCGATGTATGTGGGATTATATTTGATCCTGTTGGTGATTGCAAAAAGGTTTGTGTAGAGAACATCTGTTGTTGCTGCTGTTGTAATAGTGGTAATGACATTTGACGTGAATTTGTCGGTTCGAGTAATTGATTTGCTGACTGTGTCGAATTATGGAACATATTCGACGGACTTACAGATACTGGTGGATAATTGGTCTGCGAAGATGGATTAAATAATTGATTTGTATTTGCAACATTCTGATACATCGATGGTGGCTGATTTTCTTGATCTTTAACTCCAGTCGGTGTGCCATTGTTCAAACGTGATATTACAGACATCAGACCACTTGACGTTTGTGTCTGTTGGCTGAGAGCAGGTGAAGAAACTGCCGTTTGTAGTGGTGGTGGTGGTGTTGGATTATTTGTAGCTTGCGTTAGGCGATATTGTTCAGCTGTTATCGATGAAGCATTGTTCAACATGGTGACAATTTCTTGTGCTAAATCAGCATTAACACTAGAGGTTGCCGCGTGTAATACTGTCAAAATGATCATTATTGTATCATAATTAATTAATGGTTTAAATGACGGCATTCCATTTGTTATTTCACCATTATTTGTCTCTCTGAGATTCATTGCTGATAACTGTGGAACTTTTTTACGTAAGAATTGTATGGTATTTTGAACAAACGTTTCCTATACCAAAACAATAGCTCGAATAAATATTCAAAATAGTTCCCTTATAAGAGAATACGTACTTGATGATCACGTAGCTTATCCGACAACCACTTATCTAATTTTAAATAGCCACGCCTTGATGCTAAACAAGCTAAATCAATAATAAATGGCATAGGTTGTGCATTTAATAACACTGGTAATGTTTTTAAATCTTGTACAACTTCTAATACACGACTTAAACGTTGTTGCTGATCACTTTCGCTTGAACGATTATACCAATCAGCCATTGATGTTAAAAGAGATGTTCGTAAAGCTGTTGTATGATGCTGTAGAAAGTAAAAAGTAGCTATACATCATCCTCTCAACCATCGAGGAGTGGGTATAAAAATTATTTCTAAGATGGAACAAGAATTTTTCTATTTCATATATCGCTGCGACTAGAGGTTGTAGCGAGATTTGGTTTTCATTGTTAGACTGGTCTATGTGTCGGCTTTGTCGTGGTCAATATGTGACATTCAATCTACTAGCTTCGCTGTTTTCTACCAAGATTTTTTTAAAAACCATTAACTTTTTAGGAAAGAAAATTATCCGTATGATCGTCTCGTCTCTTTTTTCTCCACATCATGGCATAACTCGACGAGTTCTCAACCAATCCATTCGAAAGAGCAACGTCTCGGCTTGCTGATGAAAAAAATACTTTCCAAAAATTTTAAAAAAGAAATTAGACTTAGAAAACGCATCATAAATTTTTCATTGGTCTTCAGAAAATCAAATTTTTCATCCAGAACAAAATGAGACTACAACTTCACATATACTAGGAGAAAGAACGTGAAAAGTTCTACAAGATGCTGTTGAAACTTGAAAACATTACCTTCTACAGAATTTATATTATGTCTTAATGGAGTTACATATCACTCTTTTCTTTCAAATTTCATGTACGTGTAGAAGAGATCAAAACAACAGCTGATAGAAACGAAAAAATGTGTTTTATTTTGACAAAGAAATTTGTCGAATAATTTTATTCCGTTCGCGAAAGATTTCTTTCATTGCTTTTTTCTATTCTTCTATGGAAAAGAAATTCTTTTCTATTATCAGAAAAGTTGATTGTCTAATAAAATCGTACTAAATCCAAAACATACTTGTGAATTCCATATATAATTGAGTATAGCATTTGAATTTGGACTATTAGGAAGAAATAACGGTATTAAAATTTGTAATAATTCTTGTTTTAACGAATTCCATATATTCTGCAAAACAAAACATCTAACGTTCGGATAATAGGAGTAACAAGTTGTCTTACAGGTAGCTGCAGCAAGCCAAGTAGAATAACTTCTGCACAACGTTGTAGACCAATTTTAAATAGTTCCAATGTTGGCTGATATAACCCAGACTCAGATATACGCAAGAGACATTCCAATAAATTCAATGAGCGCCTAAATAGAAATAAAATACAGGCCTAGTTTTGTCGATAAATAATCAAATTCTTACCAAGTCCATGTTTCTTTGCTATCATCAGGTAAATGTTTTAAACACTCAATATTCACAGGATGAGCAGGATAATCACCAAAACAAAATATATCGGAATTACGTATGGCTTGAGCAAACCAAGATAACTAAAATAATATAGAAATCAAATTTCAGACAGAATTCTATTCAAAGTGTCAAGAAACTATATACCTGTCCTTCAGCATTATGCCATCGTGTATAAAACAAATCAATTGGAATTCCATCTGCTAAGGCACGTTTGAAAGCATTAACAATTAAAATTAGTGACTGTCGATCTTTAATTATAAAGCCGTTATAGTCTAATTCTTTCAGAACATCTTTCCAGTTCATATTTGGTGCCTACGAGACGTAAAAGAAGCATGGATTGATTAATCACAGGAAACAGATTTCTTAGAACATTCTTTTACACTTACCAAATCATTTACAGCGTGAACAAATATTTCAACATTCCATGTTTGTGACTGATTGATGGATTTTTCATTGCTATTTGAATCTTGACTATTTAAATTCTGTTAAAAAATAATAGAGCAAGAATTATTTAACAATTTTTATGTGTACACTATCAAATACTTACATAAATAATTGTATTCTCAGTTAAACCGGTATGCGTTTTAGCCATAGCACCGAGTATTCTAGCAATGTTCAATGGTTTGATCTCTTGGACACCAAATTGCACGAGAGCATTTCGACAATCCTCGATACTAGGAAAAACACAACAAAGAATATTTTATCGTAAATATGTAAGTCATCAGATACAATGTACCTGCTAGTAAAACTATAACCCATTTCGATTACGACATCGGCTAATGATGCATCCATTTGCCACTAACAAAAGCAAACAAATAAAAAAGATATTGAATAGATACTCATATCTCACTACATACCACAGCTGTTGATAAATTACTTGAATCAGATAATAATTGATTTGGTGTTAAGTCAAATGATGTTGGATAAAGTAACGGTGCCAAAATAACGTGACCAACAGATAATCGTTCTTTTGGATATTCTAAACATTATTTAAAAACAGTATTCAGTCAACATTCTATTAAAGAATAAAGAAACAAATCTCAATACCTTTTCTTAATAACACGACTAATTGTTCATAATGTTCAGGTTTAATAAGAGGATCTATTATTTTTGTTGGGGTTAGTAGATCAGTAGTCAAAGTTGAGGAAGACGATATGGACGATGGTTCAGACAATTCTTTGATGTGAACAAGAAGAGAATGAAGAGCTTCAACTGGTAAATCGGTTAAGCCAGTCTCTGCTGCACCGTTATCTATAAAAAACACAAATCCATTACTTTATCTTGAAAAAATAGAATGAAGAGTCGCATATTGCTTTCAAGAAACAAAAAGAGTAAATTTCCAGTTTAGAAACGGTTACCGTCGGTTTGTTCTAAAATACGTTGGTTTTTAACTACGCAGAACAAAAGAATTTAACCAGATAATACTGTAAATGAAAACACATTTGGCTTCTATTAATTATTTTAACTCTCTCTGTGTAAAAATGCAAAAATTTCTCAAAGTCTTTGTCCCATTTCTTGAAACCAGATATCTAATTCCATTGGAGATGTAACTCGAAATTAAGAATAACATTTTTATGGAAAGAGAAGATAACCGTTGCGCAATTCCTTATCTAAACAGACAAAATACGGTAGATTAATGGTAAAAGTTGTACATACCAGATTCAAGTATAAAACGTAATAGTTCTGGTAATTTTTGTCGTATATATTCGGTTGATACACTGGCTAAATCTTGGTTTGTTGAATGTTCCAACGCCAGAGTAAATAATATTTCTTGCGTTCGACTTAATTTGAATAATTTGCATATGATTGAGAAGAGACTCGACGTTACCTTCAGTGACTAGAGGAGAAAACGTAAACAAACACTATAATTATACAAAAGAAAAAACAGATTTTGTTAAGTTTTTTAGCCCTTTACCTTTTGTGATATTGCTGTATCAAATGAATAACAAATTAACGTGACAAAGTTTGGTTTTGATATGAGTGACAGTATTTCTTGTGATAAATATTGAACATGGATACTATCACGATTTTTAGCATTATTACTATCGACTGTGAAATCGATATTTGTAATTAATGAACGATATAAATGTCTTTCTGCTTCGAAGCCATGAGTTGATACTAACTAAAGACGAAAAGAAATCAGAAGATAAAATTAACCTGTATTAACAAAATCTACTTACTGTGGCTATTTCGGATGTAGCTGTTTTTATATTTTTCTTCGATAGGGTTTGCACAGTGTAAGATATTTGTGCTAGCGCTATTGATAGCGCGTCCAAATTCATCCCTTGAAGATGATGTGGAGCCAGGTCCAGATTCTAATGGACAAAGTGTCCTTCAAAGTAGGTGGAACTGAATATGATATACTTTTATTACTTTAATATATTTATCAGTTATATACTTTTATCAGTCTTCTTTTTACTTGAATCTTGAGCACGGACAAAAAAAATAAAAAGTTAAAAAAGAAAATTATGTCTAAAACAAAAGACAATATACCCATATTTTAAGACGCTCAAAACTGCCTGTAGAATGTGTCCAAAAGATAAGTCACGCATCAGAGTCGGTTTTTTACATAATAAAAAAAATTGTTCAGATATTCTTGTGTTTTTGTTTCATAAAAACTGAAATGAAGTTCCTATTTTCTCTCGTTTAATCTGTCTTTATACGACAAAAGCGGTTTCTTTGAGTGGAACCATAGCTAATATAGAGAAACAAAACAGCTCGTTCTTTGAGCCTAAAAAATGATCCACGTTGTTCAGCCCCGATCGCACACTTCCTAGCAGCTAATCCGGAAACTTCTGGTTTCCCGCAAAGCCGAGCCAAGCTTTTGCTTATACGTTTCTTTCTAAAAAACGTCTCTATGTCTATCTGACCGGATGCACATAAATAGAAGACTTCATCTCTTAGATCAAACAGTCCTCAGTGAATAATATAGCCGGAGCCATTTCTGTTCTGCCCTTTCTTTTTTCGTAGTTTTAGTTATTCGGCATGAAACGCTGATACTATAGATATGTGAATTGAGAGCGCCTACTCAAAACTTTCAAACGTCTTGTGAAAAGTGCTGTTGTTGTTGTTGTTTTTGTACCTAGAGAGACGACGGCTATAATTCTTTGCAAGAATTGATTTTGCGATGCGATTGGTTGTTGTTCGGATCATCAGCTGTGAAAAACTGTCACTTTACTAAAATGGTCAACATATAGTTGACTCTTACCAGAAGTTCAACCTACATTTTTAGCATGTTATAAGATTTTTTTCAGATTAAAACTTCTAAATTAAACAACGGTCTCAGTTCGATAGAGGACGCTATATCCATACATCTAGTAGCGCTGCGTAGTTGTCGAAAAGCAAAGGTCTACACTCAGCATTGGCAGTAGAAATCGAACAAAATATAACGATTACGAAAAGATAAGTTTAGTATCTTGATCTTAGCATAAAAAAATAAAGTTCATTTAGAGTCGGTGATGAAATGCTTTGTATTTAGCACACTCGATAACCTCCCGGGTAGAGCGCTACGCCGTTGTACACGCACGCTCTGTACGCGACGTACGTTTCGATTAGTACGCATGGCGAACGTGTATGCACGGTGCGCGTACCGAGCGTGACCTGATTTTGTCTCTCTACAGTTCCATCGTAATATGTTTATCTGATATCTATGATAAACCTCTAAAAATGGTACATGGTGCGCATTGTACGCATGATATGCGTTTTGTACAGTAAATACGCATGACGTACGCGTACGTCATGCGCACGTTGTGTACAAAGCGTGACGTGCACGTACGACGGGCGTACGACCGATCTGTGCTAGTAGATTTTATATTTTTGGCGAGGGGTACCGCCGAAAGTTTAGGAAAATTTTTCGAACAAAATGGCGAAAAAAACTTCCATGAGAAAATAGTATTAGTTTCAACATTTTTCTTAAGCTTTTGGCAGTATTCCTCGCCAAGAATAGAAAACTACTAGTTTATCGAGTATGCTGAATACGAAAAGGCGCCTTTCTCGACTCTAAATGCACTTTATTTTTCTGGTGATATTGTTCTGTAACCAATAATGCAGGATTTTATACCAGGATTTAATAAGCTTTTTAATACATGATTGATACGAGGTGTAGAACTGGATTTGTTTATTGGCTTTAGAAATGTTAAGAAAAATAATAACGAAGAACTTAGTGTTTTTAAACAACTAAAATTCTGTTCAAGTTGTATAAACACTTGAACAGAATTCGTACCATCATAAATGCACAATTTATAATACGCGACCTTCACCTATAACATGGCGAAGTCGTTACGATATGTTTTCTAGTGTAGATTTTGTGACAGATAGATTCCTAATGGTTTGTACGAGTCATCATACACAAACCGTATATCATCGACATTAACGTTTAGAACAGCTGATGAATCGACTAGGGAATTGTTGGTACTTTGATACTAGTATCGGTAAGTTTCAACTGTTTCGGTATCCGTACAAACTTGGTATATATGATTTTTTCGACTTTTGGGACCGGTATCAACTAAGTATGGAACGTTCGATACCAATCTCCGCAATCCTTTAGAATGAATTAACACTAAAAAATATCCCTGTTAACTCTTATTCGTTCAATAATACATAGAATTAGTGTGACAAATCAATTCTATCTGAAATTATTGATTTTCTAATCAGCAGATAAACCAAGAAAAGATTATCAATTAGACTATATTTGAGGTTGTGGGTCGGAGTATACCATTCATAATAAAATTAAAAACGGACGCTTTCAAAATAGAGCATTGAAGATCGCCCGAGATAGTTGGATTAGAACTATAAAAGATTGCATGGGGATCTTATCAAAAGCCTTATATATTAATATTCGTACTTTCATGTAATTAGTTAAACACATAGAACAGCACATCTATCAATCATGCATTCGGTTTAAAACAAATAATTATTTATTTGATAGAGATTAACCTTGTCTTTTAGTAAAGACAAGGCTTTAAATGTGTCAATCGACATCTTTTTTTAAATGTTGACGACTATCGACATTGATCTGTAATTATTTATGGCTGTATAACTAACTACTTTTCTAGATAGTGAAGTAACAATGACTATTACCCCATTGTTAACTTGTTAACCCCGGTTTTTAGATTTAGCCGCCGCTGCGGTCAGGCACATCTGTTTCAGTACTAATCAGACTCTAGTTGATCTAAAACTAATCGGTAAAAGTGAACATCGTATTCAAAGTTTGAAGATGTTTCGATCGCACATAACAAGTTCCGATCAGAGCCAATTTATTATTATACTACGTTATATTTAGAAACGCAAGATTTCATTCCAGTTCATTCCATTGTATTTGAATGAGATATGTACAAGATGTTGCGTTTAATAATCTAGACTCTCATCAGTTTATGCCACAAATAGCATCTGCTTACATAATTAATCATTTACAATCTTCTCAATTTTCATCAAGTCAAGATCATAATAGGACCGACAGATTCTTGATACCGTCATGATGCCAGAAAGTATTAGAAGTTAACAAAAAATAGAAATTTATTTTTATGTTTAGTTTGAAGCTAAAATAATATTTATATGGAAGAAAATATAAAAAGACTGATTGTATTGAGATTCAATGGTGTGTTTACCAGTTTTTGACATCATATTTTTGCATTTATAAATTTCCGCTTGGTTTTAACTCTCATAATTTCACTGCATGATTTTCGAAGGAAAAATATAGTAATACTTGATCAATAACTTATTGATGATTTTTTCTCTCTATCTAGAATTAATGATTAAAAGTATTTAGGAGATAATGTTGCTGTATTGCTTTTACTTGGTTGATTTCTGGAACATACAGTATATGAGACAACAAATGTTTTGTCGGTTTATTTAGAATTTTTTTGATGATACATCTTTCTGATTTATTTGTTGTTTTACCTGATGGAAAAATATTGTTTATAAACGACATATTTATATTTGTAGAAGGTTAGCAATAATATATTGAAAAGACGCTTTAGTCATTTACGATTTTCATTTTTAGAAAAAATCGAGTCGATAAATGACGTCATTCGCATTAATTAACACTCTTCTGCACTTTTTTTCTGTATTCAAATAGACAATATTTTTGTTTTTTCATCAATAAGACTATATTAATGACATGTATTTTTCTCAGACTGTTAAGTGTTTATAAAAAAAAAAGATAGAAAAGAAAAATAAGGTGCGAAAAGTAGGCTGATCTATCACAAGTTTATTTGTAACACTCTAAAAATGAATATTTAACAAGTCATTTAATGATATGAGTTTAGAAGCAATCATAGACCGATGAGAAAAGAGAAAAGTACAGTTCAATAAAAATGGTGCAATGGGATGCGTATAAAAAAAAGAGAGGAGGTAAAGTTTACTTTTATACACACTCGAAAAACTTAAAATTATATAAATGTACGAACAGTCTTTTTTCAAATTAAAATATACTATTTCGAATAAAAATTAGCGTTCGAACTCTATCTAAAGTTGTATTCTTTTTCTTCTACTAATGAAATGCACATGTCAAAACGAAAATTTATCATTGATGTTTACCGTTTTAAGGGTATATGTTTAAATTTAGATATTTTTTTGCTTTTAACAGAACAGCATACATTTGTATTACATGATTATCCGCGAATTAGTATGATGAACTTGACGCTTCGTTTTTGTTGTTGTACAACAAAAACTGATAATCGTTTGTATATGAAAAATAATCATTAGAGAAATACTATACTCTCAATAATATGTGTCTATATGTATCACAAAAAAAAAAGAACGAACGTATACTTCTTGATTTTTATTTTGGATTAGAACGGCAAAACAGCCTTTCAATTATTACTGTCTGTAGTCATAATAGCACGAAAATCGATGGTACAACGGGATAGATATTGAATCAACTTTACTAAGTCTTGTGGAATCAACATTTAACAAAGCAAGTTTCGAAAAGACATCATAAGTTAACTGATTGCACTAAACTATAAATATTGGGATTTTGACTTTGAAATATCTATGTACACTTATGGTTATTCTCTAATTAGTATTTTGAAGATAAATCTATTTTAGATCAAATAAATTGAAAGATTCACACCTATTTGAATGTGATTATTTGAATGATACCGCACCGTTTCAATTGATCGATTTTTAACATTAATATATCTTTTTCTCAGTTGAATTAATCACTAGTATACACGTGGAACATGTATCTTCAAAAGGCGAATTTTCAGTAAGAAAATTTAATGATCAGCGGATATCAGTTCTTTACACACATCACGTCGTTCACGTAATACTGGATTTTCTC